AAATTAAACATTGGGAACATATATTTAAAAAATGGGTACACACACACACATGTATATTAGTAACGATTATATAAAATTAAATTCAAAATTAATTAATTTGTATTCAATTAATTAATTTTGATTAAATAAAAACTATTGCCTTGTAATTACTCATCTGGCTCGATTAATCAATCAACAAACCGTAGTTATGTGGCATATAATGAACTGTAAATGACACTCTTCATTTGCTCTCGGTGAAACATGTCTCTCGAGATTAATTGTCGGTCATGCAAGCACGTCATATGTGATTATTTTCAAACAGTTTGTTTGATATTTCTCTGAATGTAACGCGTTGAGATACTGACTCGTTAATTAAAATGCGTATGCAAATGGATAATAGTATTTATTAACACCCAATTTATGACTCGTTCGCCAAATTGCGGTCTCGTAGTAGTTGACAAATAATGTTCTCGCGCGACTTACGTAAACGGATTAGAACAGACTGCACGTCGCTAAAAACTGGAAGTTCTTCATTGAGTTAAAAATTCACATGTCTATCTTAAAAATAGCGACTTACTACCTCTTTTCATGAAACAGGAAGCATGTATCCGCACAGACATTATGTTCATTAGACGTCTGCTGGACGTTCATAACTCTATGAGACGTCTAATAGAATTTTGTATAAAATGTTTTTTTGTGTATAAATATCTGTTTCAAACATATCTTACAATTTAATATAGTTCTGTAAAGCATATCAAATTAAGATGCCTCTGTAAAGCAATTTTGGACTCGCCTGATTGTTTATTACACTCTATATAACTTTTTTTAAATTTCATTTTGATATCGGTTTGCTCTTTAACATAATAATAACAGATTATCCGGTATTGACGCTGATATAACTTAAATGCCAAACTTTGCTATGGACGTTGCTCTGGACGTTGGTATATTCATTTGTTTGGTTATCAGATATCGATGTTTACCTGTGACAGCAAGTTCGTTCAAAAAACTCTCTTAGGAATCTCGAAATAAAGTATGAGAATTCTTTTCTTTTCTCTAGCAGCGCATACATCGACTTGTTTCAAAGTCATTTGCTAACTAACTAGAACCGGTACTGTGAGTCAGATTTAAGAAAGATGAGATTTACAAGATTTGCGCGGTTTGTGATATTGTATAACGCTGATAACATTTTTACGTAACGATACGCAACGCAATGAAAAATTATATTGTAGCTCTATATGCAATCCGTCTATGTGTTATCTGTCTAGACGTTATCCATTTGAATTCTGTATGATTGAACGAAAATTGGATCCATCCGTCGCTTATCGTTGTTGACCTCGAGCTGAGAACATGGCTGACTCATCTAAATTATTCTATCTAGAGAAAAATTCGTACTCAAGGTACTCTACCTCTGCTCCAAGAGGATACACGAGCCCGTATGTCTCGTAAAAAATCGATTGACACACCTACGATTAAATAACAAAAGGGATAATCTTTTCAATGAGGCCAAGTGCCATTCCGCCCCTTGCTTAGCTCTCGATCGCCGCCGTGGGTGGATATTGCGATCGATTCCACGAACTTTTGCCTATAATTGATGTCTCCAATCAAGACAACGAGTATTTGTATAGTTTCGTATCACAATGTCTCAATTGATAACATTATTGTCATTAGTCAAACTGATGCACTGCCTTTTTGCTCAAAAAACTAATCGTTCTTATATGAACATACAAAAATACACACGTTTCTTTATTATGTTTTACTACACACTATATATATATATATATATATATATATATATATAGTGCTCTTTTATACAAATTAAGCAAATAACATAGACAGAAAATAATAAATAAAATTATATATATATGTTTATATACATATGTATATATATATATGTATATGTGTATATAAACAATATATGTATATATGTATATAAACATATATATAATTTTATTTATTATTTTCTGTCTGTTATTTGCTTAATTTGTATAAAAGAGCACTATCTAAAAAAGAAAAACTTTAAATGTAGTAAATAAAAAAACTAAAAATGCATCCTCAATTCTTTGGCTGTAGAAGAAAGCTAGTTTGAAAAAACATAAGCAATTGATGCAATCGACGCGCGATCAATAGTCGATTTTACATTTCGATCGATTTTTTATTGTGCAAACATTATTATATGTTCCGCGAACAAAGGTTTTTTCTATCGTCGACAGAAAAACTTGCGCCGCGCACGTCTTCTCTTGTTTCTTTGGAAACAATTATTTCTCGAATGTGCGCGACCGACATAGGTGCGAAACAAACCCAGGCGTTGCGAGATCCAACAGCCACGATCCAGTTAAAGCCAGTCGGATCCAGCCGATCTGGTCGACCATCTGGAATGTCACATGGTTTAGGATTCTGTAATGCTCGTCCCCTCGCACCTACGAAATCTCGCTCATACCAAGAATAATGACGCTATACGTTTAGAATAACTGTGTGAAAAAAAAGTAGTAAACACAGTTAATCTCGAAGCAGTGTAGAATAAAGATTGACGCGCGAGACTCTTGTATGGCTACATGATGGCCGGTAATACATAACATACATGGTAATATATAATAGTTTTCTATGTCAAGAGTACGCGTGCAGTCAAATCCTTTGTTTTTTCTCGATCTTTCTTGGTTGGCTTATGTCATTCTTTCTGAAAACTAGAATATTTCTTAAAATTATTTAAAAAGAAAAAAATACAAAACGTTTTAATTAATTCCAATATTTACTGTTAACTACGCAACTGACACTGAAAGTTTCATTATCAATTTGCTACAAGTATCGCAGAGAATGCATTACATGTGCCATATTCACAGTTTTTTTTTAATGAGATCTTTAAAAAAAAGAAAAGATATGACGAGAAAACTTCTGTGACATGACACGTCACAAAGGAATATACCAATTGAGACCAAAGTAGTGCCAAGAAGGAATTATAATCGATCGATAGAGCAATACGTACATAGTTCAGGCGTACCAATATTTGTTATAGAGACAACGTAGACGAAACCTAATCCGAATGAATCGACTTACATAATTATTAAAGACGATTTTTGTAAATGTTTGCGCATCACTCTGCGTTATTACATGGAAAAAGTTATTGAGCAGTTTGACATGTCTTTCAGTCTTGTATATTTATTTTAATATAGTTAAATGTAAAAAAGTCACGATTAAAGTAAGTTTTTATGGCTTAAATGTAATATGAGCTTTTCTGACATTTGTCGCCACAAAAACTTACTTTAATCGTTACTTTTTTTATAGTTTACTATAACAAAGTAAAAATTTAGAATTGTTAAATTATAATCATTTCATAATTTTTTTATACACGTGAATAAATTTGTTGGGAGCAAATGTTCCAAGAGTAGATTTTTACTTAATAAAATATGTGCTATATTTTTAGACCAATAGACAATGTTTTGTGGGTGTAATAGAATATTTTATTAATTCATGCTTTTTGAAAAGATCAATGTTTCTGAATATCATTAAATCAGATTATATTGCACTAACACAAGAAAAAACAATAAACAGAAAAATATCTATATATACATGTTTTATGTCGCAATTTTAGTAAACAATTTTACGCGCTGCGCGAAATTTACTGTTTTATATCGCAATAATCCTCTCCACAAATATCAAAATTGTACTGATCGTACACAGCTCTCTTAATTTTCAATTATGTGAGAGAATTAACACAATCAGTAAGAGTCAAACGCTGTATGTACGTGCAAAATATCATTTATCACATAAATTAATACACATAAATTAACACATTGTTTTAAAATTAAATTCATATTATATTATTTCTCTCATATAGTTGAATATTAAAAGAGTCGTGATACAAGATGCAAACTAAACGTCCAAGAGATATAGATTTTCGAGTTGAATTTAATTCAAATTAATTAATATATATTAACACAATATATATTTACACGTCGAACAATATTTTGCACGTACAGCGTTTGGCTCTTACTGGCCGTGTTATTTCTCTCATATAATTTTCTTAGTTATGAATTTGTGTTGTAAATAAACTGTATATCATGTAAATAAAGTTGACGTAATCACAAGTTGTGTCATTTACAACTTCGTTATCAAGTAAGGATATAAAGATGATAGTATGTATTTATATATTTTAATATTATTCAGATATTTTGTTATAAAATAAGATATAAGAAATTTTTATATTTACAATAAAACTTATTTTGATATTTGATGCTTTCGCGGTGTGTAGTATTAACATACAAAGATGTTTTTTCGGGTTTGAACCGCGTTAGTGTCATTTTTATACCGACGTTTCGTGAACATTACAGCTCACTTCATCAGGGTTTGAAGAGCAGCCTGATACAGTATCAGTGAGCTGTAATGTTCACGAAACGTCGGTATAAAAATGACACTAACGCGGTTCAAACCCGAAAAAACATCTTTGTATGTTAATAAAACTTATTGATTGATTATGATTTATATCTAGAGATATGAGCTTTTAGAATTTTAAAACTTGTCTTGGCATGTACAGGTAAATATTATACACATATAATCTGAAATTTGTAATATAAATTAATGTAATATATTAATTTTTTTTAGAAATGGATTTTTTTGTATTACATAATAAGATGCGTGATCCAAGATATGTATCTTCTCCTCAAAGATTGACTATCAGATAAATATCACTTGTACATATATATTTGTTATGCTCTTCGACTCTAAAGTTTAATTTTATGTTACTCTAATAAATTTTGTTAATTTTCGAAATTCTATCTATATAAAATTGAAGATTCGTTAATCTATAAATCTTATCGCTTTTACATAATTATTTTCTACTTCGACATCAGTCGTTAACTGCAGTTACAAATTATAACATTGCAGATGACACGGTTATTATATAAACTAAATTTTTGCGACAGATGTAGATGAATATTTCCATAAAAATGAATTGTAAAAAAAGGCATGATTATGAGGTACTCACAACTTGTCGTTGATATAATGGATAAAAGACATGATAAATAATATAAATTTAAAGTTCTGTTCTGTTATTAAAAGACATTGTGGTTTTTGTTTTTGAGAACACAACAATTGACCATGAACACGTACATACATTCATCAAATCAAATATATGATATAGCAAAGTTGTAAAATATTTATATATGCACATAAAGTATTTTTATATGGAAGGTATCTATATACTTATGTATAAGTAGAAATATTTTATGTTAGAAAACAAAGGTAAAATAGTTTAGCTTCATTCAAAGAATTGGCAAAAGCAAAACTACTTGTCGATACAAAAAATATAAGATTTATACTATAAATTATTCACATGTCTACACTTAGAAAATAAAGTTTGTCATAATCTTTTTTTAATAAATTACAAGAATCATAATTCAGGTAGAGATGTTCTCTTAAAGAGAAAAAATAACTAAATTATGATTATATATCCTAATTTTTATAAATATAGTTGGTACATTGCACTCGTAGACGGATATCCGCTTCCAGTCCATACAATTATGGGCTTAATAAAAAAAAGAAAGCACTGGTATTTTTCGTTCTAAAATATATCGAATATATAAATAAAATCTCTTCTCAAGTAGATCAATTAACATAATTGTCAAAATCATGTTCATCGTTGACACTATGTATAATATTTACAGTTTATAGAGAGCGACATGCACAAATAAAAATATACTCTGTACACTGAAAACACTAGCAACAATAACAATAATGCAATACTTATTCGAAAAACAAATTAGAAATGCGCTCATCCTGTCTGAATACTATTACAAAACAAATGCAAATGTGTTATCATTTATTATCATTTGTTATGTAGGAATTAATATATAAATAAACATGTATTAAATAGTCGTTAACAAATTATGTATAGAATATTATTTTAAATAAAATATTCTCTCGAGAGTATTTCCAAAATGTTTTATCAAATAATATTTATTAAGTAAACTTATTAAAATTTAAAAATTAATATTAATCTCAACGTAAATAATTCTATTTTGTCTCTGCTCCATATCTTTGATATTTCGTAGACATTACATTAAACAAATTATATCAACATATTTCATTGTAATCTTAAAGATGTCCAAAATCATATCGTTGTTCGAAACATTTAAAAGAGTTACTAGTGTTTTATATTAAATAATAATATAATAGAGAGAATTCACGAATCCAGAGTTGTTATACAAGCGTAGAACGTTTAATTGCTTAAATTTCACATACAAATTTGAACATACTTGAAATTGCTTTGCATTAATTTATATTGGCGATAAAAACTTCTTTGGATATTCCTATTAATCTTGCGTCAACAGATCAGCAGACTGTATCATGTATATTATCAAACTTACAAGTATATAGTCTATAGAGTTCATATATCACAAATTGTAATTCTATACTATTTTAAAAAGAGGTAACATATAGTTCTTCACATCTATTCTATTATATTAATCGTTCTCGTTCTGTAGCTACGCGTCAGTATTTTCCTCCTCGAAAACTTCCTATTTTATGATACTTCTAACCGTTAGAATATTTTGGCATTTTTATATTTAGCTCCCCTATCGCCAATAATCAAAACTCATGCATATTTTTATCTATGCGCTTTTTTTTTCAAAAAATCTTTCGATTTTATGCGTATGTATTCTATTGACAAAATATCCGATTCTCGTCAATCTACGATGCATAGATAGCGACGATAGTTAGTATCACATTGTGCTGTAGTTGTTGACAAGTCGTTTCATTCTTCAAAAAAACAAATGTCAAACATTAGCTCATTAATGTTTGTATGACAGCTCGTCAAAATATAGCCACTTACGGCATCGATTATTGTTGCTCAAAAATTTCTTTCCACCGAGTCATTTTTTTTCAGATTCGAAAATAAATAGAACATATATAACACGGGACCATACCTGGCGAATAAGGTGAATGAAGCAATAATTCGAATTCGTAAATTACGGACATTGCAACAGTTGAAGTGTAAGCTAGTGCATTGTCAAAAGTCACTGAGAGCGTCTACTTTGACTAGCTGTCACACAATGTGCAATAATAAGCCAGCGTTTGACATTTGTTCTTCTGAAGGATAAAATTTATCAATGATAATAGAGCAATGTGATACTACTGTCGCTATCTATATATCGTACGTTTCTGATACTTATCAATCATTTTACGTAAATAAAGTCCATTGCTGCAGGTTCTCGCATCACAATTTCACGTTGATTCCAACACGCCACCGGCGAGTTTCGTCGCATACAGGTTAAGCGCCTTGAAAAAAAGAAAGTTCTATTTTAGATAAAGGAAAATCTTTTGTTTTAGAAGTTTTTGAAAAGCTCTTCATTGAGATTCGGATTCTTGAATAGAAAGTTTGATATTGCTCAAAATATCTTATACGAGTTTCCGAATTTTAATATATTTTGGATTTGAAAAGTGTTTTTTTTTTGTATAAATCGTACATATAAAAAAAAAATCAAACTTATTCGAAAAAATAGTTTGTGAATTGTATATTTTTCCAAAAAAATTATTGCGTGAATTATATATTTTGTTTTTTTACTTTTACAAAAATTATTCTTAAGTTATAGAAAAATATATAAAAAAAAATATTCTTAAGTTATAAGAGATTAAATATTCACTTTGTATATGAAAGCGTATTGCTCTTTCGTTTGAACTGCGCCGGCACGGTCTCTTCTGATGGTGTAAACGACTCTCGGCACGTCCACGGTTCTTGTAATTTCATATTGTCTAATTCCTAGGTCGAGAGCTATTAGCGTGCCGGTGCGTCCTGTGCCAGGACTACAGTGAACCACGATAGGTCCCGGACTACCTCGCTGAAGTGCTCTCGCCTCGAGAAGCACCGCTATTAGACCTGCACCGTCAGATTGGACACCACTCACCGGCCATAGGTACCAAATGTGGAATATCTCGCGGAATGTATTGTTCTCCAAGTTCTGCAAAAACTATTTAATTAATTACTTTCACTCAAAACTTAAATAATATATGTATATGTATAGAACTTTATAATGTTATTGCAATTATCAAATATTGAAGTTTTTAATGGTTAGAAATATTATATTTTATATATAATAACCATATTAAAATCTATACAAAACAATATTCTTAATCTTTTACATTAAAATATCAATTAAAATTAATCGATTTAAACCAGTAATGGCAATACATTGATTTTTTAATGAACTTCTTGATTATCAAAATACGTTGCACACATAAACGTCTAAGCACAATTTTGTTGTCAGTAAAAGGATATCAAAATTCAGATGTTCGTTACCTTCAAATGTAGCGTAGAGATTGCATATTTCTCTTTGGTTTCCCGTTTCTTCAGAGTGACTTGGAAATCACCGTAAAGTCGGTGACAATCAATTACTTCCGAAGGTGGAATGTATTCAGTGCATTTTTCCACCCCGTTCTCGACAAGATCGGTCAGCATGATGATTACTTTACACTGCTGCTCCCAGATCATACGCCAAAAGTCGATAACAGTCGATTCAATTGGCGCTTGACACGCGATATAATACTTTGTAGCATTTTTAGGTCCCTAAAAAACACCGACATATTTTTAATTTCATTTACCGTGCTGAAAACAAAGAATTCAAAGAGAATAAATGTTTATAATTATTTTTAAACACTTTCTAGTGCGAAAGTAAAAGTTGCTATTTTCATCAACAATAATAGCAAATATCTTACCATATTATAAATATTATGAATATTTTTATTTAGCAATAAAAAATGTCTATGCGATAGAAAATCTGATAATATATAAATAGTATTTTTTTTTATTAACTCTGTTAATCAATTTTTTTTAAGTAATATTTAATTACTCGATGTAATTACTTGATATTATAATAAAACAGAAAACGAGAGAGAGAGATATATTATTTGTAATATAGAATTTGTACCACGAATTGTTTTATAACAAATGTATTCCATCAAATCGTACATTGCACACATATACAATGTTTTGCTTTTTCATACTTAAAATCTATATCGTATACTTTCCAATTTTTTGCAAAATTACTTATTGAATCGCAACATGGCGAACACGTTTTATTAAAATGCACAATTGCGACTTTGAAGTATTGAGTATATGATTTTATCGAATGTCGAGCGAAATTGATTGCACGGATGCACGTTCCGTCGTTCGACGCACAGTAATACTTGCACGTTTAAAAAATTGCAAGACATTATATATTGTGCACACAACAAAGCGGAAGCATTACGATTGAAGGTATTGATATCTAATGATCGACATAAGCCGATCTCGAGCGGAAACAATGCTGCATTTCTCGATCGATCGATTCGTATTTACTAAAGCTCTCGATCGTTTTTGACAAATCTCACACAGAAGCATCTTAAAAAAACAAGATAAATAAGTTTTTGTAATTTTAGGCGCCGGAATGCCATTATTGTTACTTTTATGTATTTTCTTTCACTCTTTTTATGATTGCAAATTATTTGCAAATAAAGACAAGTTTTTCAACTTAAAAATTGTCTGGTTTTGCACGACTCAAGTTTCTTGTTTGTTACGTAAAGTTGTTACGACAATAGCGCGTATTGCACTCGCAATATCTTCTCGCGATTTATACAACGAAAGAAATTCTGAACAATATACTTATATACAAATTTTTCTCCGCTCTCTCAAATATTATTATTATTAAAGATTGCTTTTGTCAAAGTACAGTGTGTTATGCAATCATGATGCGTTTTGTGTATTGCTATAAAGTAAATAATAATACAGACAAATATATATATGTATATATACATATATATATATATATATATATATACAAATATATTTTAAATATATATATATTTAAAAATAACAGTATAACTAACTAATAGTAACTAAAATAATAGTATAGACAGATACTTAAAATTACTGAAATATCGGTTACTCAAATATTTAGTTTTTTAGGTTTTTTAAATTTTCTTTAAATTTCTTATAAACCGTAAAATTATCTAAACTTTGAAGAGAGAATAATTTTTAATCGTAATATTACCTTATTCAATTATATGTACGATAACTTTATTGCATTCCATTGTTTTGTGCTTAAAACATGATAACAAAAAAATGTCCATAATTACACTTTGTGTTTTTGTCACGATTTACCTTTAAACACATGTAATATGTCTTCATTCTTTCAAGATTTAAAATCTTGAAATATGCGAGAAGCAACATACATCCCCACACAACTACATGTAATGTATAATCTTACGTGTGCAAACGATTAGCCTTTGTACCTTTTTGACCCCATTTCGTAAAACTTTTGTTGCGATTAAAAAGCGAACTAAGATTATTCCGCGAACAATTCCCGATGTTCTTCCGCGTTTGTGTTCCCAGCTTATACAATGCACTCACTTTCCCGACGATATGTTGCGCAATCGTCTTTTCCCACGCGCCACGAAAACGTTTTTACTAGTTTTTAATATTTCACTGTTTCGCAACTGACATAATCCGATCTCGCGCGTGAATACTATTATATCTCAATGACATAAATATATTATTATATCTTAATGACATAAATATTATGACATATCCAAAACTGTTTCTGTTCATTTAAACCAAAATTACCATAAATCAGTGAGTACTTGTTTGCGTTTGACGTTGCTGGCGATCATTAAAAAATCTAATTAGCACACGTTACGCAGAAGTTTCTTTGTAATTCTAGGATATATATTGCTGCAAATCACACTCAAATTCGCCTGTCGTTTGTTCTCATGTTTTGCATATTCCGCATGTTAGAAATATCGGAAAAGCGTAAAATTTTCAGTAAAAAAAAGTGGGCATTGTGTGTGCACAGTAACAAAAGTATATCTTATAGGCACCACTTTATAGTTAAGCCACAAATTCATGAAATCAGTTTAATCGAAATGTCTCACTTACCCGCACGTAACTAGCGTTGATGTACTCGGTCAAGGGGTCATTGTTCAGCCTCTGTAACGGCACCCTTGTCTCTGGAAGCGGTATCACGTTCGCGTATCTATTCTTCACCTCCGCACCCTGAGGCAGCTCGTCTATCCTCGCTGAAACTTGGGGTATACCCGCAAACTCCTCGTTGATTACGTTAATGTCGTTACAGAAGGTTGAGAGCCCGGCAAAGTTTAGAGGATGGGAGGGAATAGCGCTCTGAAATAATGGCATGTCTTTTTATAGAAACACTATATATGTAGAGAAACTCCGTAATATTGTTTCTCTCTTTTTGATTGAAAGCTACAAAAAAAACTCAATGCGTGTGATACTCATTTGATATAAATAAAAAAAAAAACAAAAAAAAACAAAAATGTTGCGATATTTCAATTTGATAAATTTTAGACAAACAGCAATTTTAAATCAATTGTGGTACGTTCCACAATTTATCAAATAAATCCCTGCATTTTTTTAAAGATTTAAAAAGCTAAAGATAAGATCTAAAAAGATTAAGTACTAGGTTAGTAACTACTGTATATAATTACAATCAGTATTCTGTCACTGCATATCAGTATTCAGTCACTGTATATAATATCAGTATTCAGTCACTGTATATAATTACAATCTGTATTCATATTTTGTGCACGCAATATTAATATTAAAATTTAGCACAAGCTGTGTGAGCGTTCAAAATCTGTCAAGCGCAGAGTCTGCAAAATAGATATCTGTTACAAGCTTTGCAGTAGAATGCTAGACTGGAGATAGGATTTGTCGTACTCTCATTGTATCAGCAGAATTCTAGCAAAAATCTAATAAAGTTTGAGAGATAGTATGTAATTTTACACGCGTTTTACCTGAACAATTTATTATACTTTTGTAACACGTAGTAGCTAAAAACAAAAATAATTTGCAACAAGTAAATAAGTAACACTAATTGAATAAGTAATTCTATTATATTAAAACAGATTATGTTTCATATTTCGTAATACTAAATTCTTTACAATTTTATATTTTTAAAACTTACTTAAAATTTATTAGTATCTATCTTTATTTTTAGTATCTATAATATATATTTTCAGATATTATCGTGACCAACCAAAACAGTATATAATCATTAATTAAACACAAAATCGAATCGTCCGATAAATGGCACAATGAGAACTTGAAATAATTTCAAAAACTTCTACGATTAATCTTCTCGAACTTACTGAATCTTCGAAAGTCGGATTGCCGTAACTTCTCTTGGAGGATCTTGCCGCACCCTTGCGCCTTACACTGTTGTACGCAGAGACGCTATCGAGGCTGTAAGCGTCTAAGGATACCGGCCGGCACCGTTCTCCGTAGTTGAACCTTGTTTGCCTCTTTCTCATTATAAACTGCGAATATAGTTACAACGAAGGTTAGCGGTCGGTTTATCCGACGGAACAAATGCGAAAGCGATTCAAACAATACATTTCACGGATACAACTTTCCATGAGATTTTAGTCTATCTACAAATGACAGTACTCACAATATCTCGAAATGCGGTGACAGTTAACTTAGTGGCCATGCATTGAATAGACAATTGCTATTCGCCAGCGTGCAAAATATATTTGTAACTGATAAAAAAACGTAAGTAATATCATGAATAGTGTAATTCTAGATTTATGTAAGTGAGAGTACTTAGTGAATATCTTATTCTTATTATAATCTACAAACTATTTCATTTGTCTTGATTTTCTAGTAAAAAAAATAGTAATAAATAAATTAGATTCTTTTAAACTGCTTTATATCTATTCGCACATAAGAAAACAAAAAATGATACTCTTTTAACGAATGCAAAATGTTGTATAACTACAATTATGGCAATAATTCTCTGTACAATTGAGCAACGACAATGTTGTATTATTTTAATTGCATCAAGTGCCCGATATATCTGAAAAGAGATTGAGGAAATCTCGGTTTGGATAATGTGTTTAAAACATAGAATAAAGCGGACTATTTTAACATTATATGTCATGTCATTCGTATGCACGGCAAAGACTACAACAAACACACGGTGATGAAGCGAACATCGTGTCGGTTGTCGATCGGTCTAATCAGCCATTCAAGGTCGAGAAACCACGTGCGTGAATACTCTTTCCGGACAGAAGACTTTTATAGTTAATTATGCGTTATCACGATGCGAAAAGTATATATTTTATGTTTTCGCAGATTTCTTTCGTAACTGCAGCGATTTGACAATTACTATTTGTTTTTATTATTTTTAGAGTCACATTGAGTATCGCAGATTTAATTACCGCAATAATACAAAAGTATAAACCTTATATAAATTTACGAGACCTACATTTTAATGTTTTTTCTCTTGTAAAACATTCTTTACACTATATTCTCTGGTTTAATAGAATTATTTAATCGATTCATTACGTAAGAGCGCTTTTCTAACAACGAGAATGCAGTGTTTTAAAAATCAATGAGATAACCGTTGAGTTTCTTTGCGCCATGCGATATTTTTTCTCCTTTATTGATTCGTTAAATTTCGTTTGTTTCGATCCTCAACGTTATATGAGTATATTGTACGTTCATTAAAATTAAGTATTGCACGGTGCGCAAGCGCGAAAGTAATATTGTTGATTGCAGAAAAAACTATGAAGTAGCAAATATCGCTGCGAATATTTCTTTCGAAAGGAAAAATTCACAAACATTTTACAACTGTGTAATGCTTTGTGACTTTGTTTGTGTGTGTGTGTGTGTGTGTGTGTGTATGAGTATGACGTTATTGCTGCAAATAATTGTAAAAGCTTTTTTTTTTATTAATGTTTATAATACTATCGATTGTGAATATATATAAGTTTCTCGATTTCTCGTGAAACAATTAACTTGCATAAGCGTGAATTGCACATAAACACATTTTTTATAATTTAAATAGACAGAATATCAACACATACGAACGTGATTTGAAAAAAACAACACTCATAATAAATCTATCATCGCGAAAAGAAAAACAAATCACTCGTATCGTTAAGTGTTATGCACGCGCGTGTTATTGTCGCATCGTTTAATTTAAAGAAAATAAAAAAAAAGGACTGTCTTTTACTTCCCAGATAAAAACACATACATAGACATATTATCATAAAACTATTACGTACACTAAACTAAAATTATAAGTGTGGACAGTCGGATGGACGAATGGATGAAGACCGACATGATGATAAGACCTCGTGAACAGAGGTTTATCGCCATGTAAGCGCGATACGCAGTAGGCTACGTCAGTGAGTATAGATTTTCGCGGACCTGCGCACCTGTATCTTATAAAACATTATAATTTTGTTTCTAATTTTCATGAATATACCATATAAAACATACAAAAAAAAAAAAAAAATACAGAAAAATACAGAAAAAGAATACGTGTGTATCGAGAGATGCCGTGTATTTGAAAATATTTTCCTAAATTTAAGAGTTTTAACAAGTTAAGTTTTTATAAAATATAAAAACATTATAGTTTGTAATAAAACTCTTTTTAGTTTCTGTTTTAGGTTACAACATATAAACGATTCAAAAACCAACTTTAGCAATTAGTTGGATATTTTATTCAAAACTTAATTTGTTAAAACTTCAAGTTCACAAAAACACACATATGTATTCAGAATGTTGTTAAAATAAAAACAAAATTTTTCTACACAAAACAAGCTACATTCAAAAATATTGACTAAAAGTTACAACGCCTTGTAACAATGTTACATGCAGAAACAATTTTTCAGGTGTGTGCGCGTCGAAATATATCTTTCACGCAAATGTTTACTTAAAAGATAATTCGACGCCAGCTATGAACGTCAGTATTTATCATAAGTTAAATGTAATGTCGCGTATATGAGAATATGGAGTCGTTGAATAAACGAATGCTTACCAAAAGTCCGGCCAGAAGAACCAGACAAATAAAGGCTACGGACGAAACAACAACAACAGCTATTGCGTTTCCAGAATCCGCTTCAGGTACCAAAAAGACCTTGTGTATCTGCAAAGAATGAATAATCTAAAGCAATTTAATAAAAATATTTTTTATTCGACTGCGTTAAGAGAATTTTAATGATTTTGAGACGATTTTTATAACTTTGACACAACTTAGCATCAATTAATTATGATTACAGAGAAGAAACGCTTCATAGAAACAATTTTTAACGATAATTGAGAAGATTACTTCGGCATGAATTAATGTAAGATTCCGTTTGATTATCGGATAAATTAAATTTTAACGCGTCAAGAGGCAAAAGTGCGTGTTATATAAAAGACTTTGACCAATCTTTGCAACGGGAGATCCAGCCGTTATTGTGCTCTAAATCCACGCTCGCATGAGACCTTCTACTGGTCTTAACTTACTCTCACTGGGAAGTTGGGAGACACCTTGTACAAACTTGGAAGAATCTTCGTCATGGTAACGTCAAACTTTCTGTCCTCGTTCACGACATAAACTAGGATCGAAGTCAAACTGACGTCTATGGGTGTCGGTGACGAGTTTGTTGTCTCGAGACATGGGTTTTGATGAATGACAATTTGTTCCGGCAACACTAATCTGCGAAACAAAGTAGCACACCTGATAAATAATAACATAGTATACCTTGCATAAGATATATAACACACATATTATAGTTAATTTTTCTAAGATGCAAAATAAACAAATATTAAAAAAAATATTTAAAAATATTAAAAAAAAAGAGAAAAAGTAGTATTTTGTATTAATATACTTTCTCTGTACACATATTATGTATAATATTTTCACATTATTTTTCAATTGTACACGAAGTCAAATCTCCGTAACAGATATATGAGAGAACAAAAATTTTAATAGTTTCCAAAATTAATAAATTAAAATAATTAAAAGTTGATCAATGTAATTTTAAATACAATTTCACCGAATCAATTACGATCAATCACGATTAAACGTAATATAACAGAGATTTGAAAAACTTAATTAAAAAAAAAAAAAAAAAAAAAACAAAAAACAAACCAAAACAAATCAAATCACTTACTTCTTTAGGCCGTTGGTGAGAACATCCGCGAACGCTTTCTTGAGATCCGGCAGCCGAAGACAGACTTCGTGCAAAGAACCTTCGATAACTATTTTAACCAGTAACGTAATCTCATCTGAAGACAATATCTGAACAACATCCGTCGTTTTCTCGTCAGGCGATTCCGTAGGTGTACTCGAGAGAACTCTCGGTTCCAAAATATTCGTAACATCGGATGGAGTTAAGGGATTCTTCGTGATGTTCGTCGTAGGCATCTTCATTGTGACATCTGAATTAGGCAACTCCGTCATGCTTAGAACGGACGTCTCGGTAACGTTAACGTTGAAACTTGACTTAATGGACTCTGAAGGATCCTCGGTAACGCCGGAGGATTCCGTGCCAGCGGTAGCTACGCTAGTGTAATCGATAACGCTTATAGCAACTTTGTTTCTCGTAAACTCTGTGCGATTACTCTGCTCCTGACTTACAATCTGAATGGTTGACGACTCTTCGATGGTTTCGTTATTAGACTGATACACGGTTGATACCTGATCCGTTCCACTTTCCGTTACTACCGGAAGTTCGGTAAACTCTTGAAGTTTCATCGTGGTAACTGTGTCTTCTGTAGTATTACTTGTCGCGGATGAGTAATCTTGAACAGTCGGCGAGATCGCGATCTTAGAAATTGTCATTTGTTCGTGAACATTATTCTCGGTCGTGTTATTTTCTACAGAGATTGCTTCCGTGAGACCCACAAACACAAATTCGACGGACGTAGTTGTCGGAATGAAAGATGCATCAGGAAGTAAAGTAGTAAATAAAGTTTCGGTGGTTTGATTGGGACTTAAGGAAGACTGTTGCATGACATTCGTCCTTGATGTTGACACTGTGGGATTTTCGAAAACCATCGTGGCAGCCACTGTGTTCACTTCACCTGCTGAAGTTGTAGACTTGTTCACTTCTATTGCCACGGCTTTGTCTACAGGAACCATTGTGGATTCGGTAACGATAAAAGTTGAGCGGATCATCATGGCCTCTTCCGGCTCCATCTGGACGTCCGTATTTAAAGGGATCCTGGATGTGTTTGAGATCTCAGTGGAATGCGACGTCGACGTTGAATCTGTCGTCTCGCTGGAATGTGATTTCACTCCCTTGCGGTCTGGAGCAAAGCTGACTTCTGTTATGCCATTTCCGGTCACGTCGTAGCTATTGCTGCTACTTGCAATCACTTTCTCTTCTTCTTTCGTATTCGGTATGTCATTCTTGGATGTCGAACTTTTCATCTCCGCCTCTGCGCTGCCGTTTAATTTTTCTGACAAAGTTTCATTTGTCGATCCAACATCAGCGGAAACAATCGGGATCACTGTTGCTGGTATTAAAGAAGAGAGACTTTTGGTCGTAAAATTCTTGGAATCTTTTATATCTTCTTTCTCTTCCGGTTTCTGCTGTTGAATGCTGTTCTCGATCACAACCGAGGGTTCCGTAATGACAAACTTTTCGGATTTTTCTTTTCCGATCGTATTCTTATAAGATGAAGCTTCTTCCGCAACATCACTGTTCGCTCTCAAATTGATTGTTGTCGTCTGTAATGATTCTCTACTAGACTTTAGATAAGGGTAAGGTTTTTGCTCTATCTTTTCTGTATCGGAGTTATTTTGTAAACTCTGAGTGATCGACGATGCTCCGTCATCGAGCTTCGCCGAAGTTGTGAATTTTACCTCAGTACTGGAAAACTCGTTAACTCCGGATAATCCAATAGTTCTACCCTGCGGAACTGGACTACTTTCGCGTGCTCCCAAAGAATGCTCTTCAAGTTGGATACTTTGAGTTGTCATTTCAAGCAACTTCACCTGACTCTCAGATTCCCTTATCGATTTCCGTTCATCCGTATTATCTGCGCTACTGATGGTCGCGTTAGAAAGTAAAATATCTGTTTCCTGTTCAAAATGATTCTCATTTTTGACACCTCCTTTCTTCTTGATGTAAACTGTTTGGTCTTGATTGCTCGGTTTATTGAAGTGAGATTCATTCTTTGCGGTTTCGTTCTCGTTGGTCACGATTCTCAATATTGGCTGATGAGCCATGTTGTTAACGACTTCCACTTCTTCCTTTGGATCGCCTTTTCCACGCGTGCTATTTGTGTCGATGGAGCGATTTCTCGAATCCGCTTTAGCATCTTTCTCCGTCACAGTTTTATAAAAATGATTGTAGTTTACGTACGTGTCATTAATAAGCGAAATGATTCCTTCGCGTCCCTTCTCATCAATATTTCCTAGGTCGAGTGCTTCAGATGCCGTTGTTCCCTGATCCTTTACATTTCTCGTAAGTGTTTGAGAATCTTCGCGCTGAATATCGCGCACTGTAGTTAATTCTCGATCACGATCATCGCTTTCTTTCAAATCAACTAAAGTTACATCTTTATTTTTCATCGACTCAATCTTTAAAATTGTCTCTTTATAATCAGATTTCACAGTTTTATTTTTTTTTTCGTCTTCTGACAGTTTTGCTGACAACGAGGAGAAATTTTCGACCAATATCGCAGTCGTTGTTTCTTGCTCGTTTGGAATTATATCTTCTATGTGTTTAGTTTCTGAAATTTTTATAATGTTTGCTAACTTGTCGCTGACAATGTTTTCTTTTTTTGTGCTTAAAGGAATGGTGACATTGGGTTCTTCATTATTGAAAGTTTCTTCAATCGTGGTATTTCCTACGTTTCTTTTGTTGTCCTGTTTTGAATCGTTTAAAGTCGGCGACTTCGTGGTCGCTGCAATTAGTTCGTTTGTTCTGGATAATCTGAGAAAGTCATCGGAGATGACTTTCGTGCTGGTGCTTTTTCCAGAGCTTTTCGCGGCAATTTCGCCGTACCGAGCTTTCCGATTTCCATCTGATGAACTTTCGGATTTCGTCGCATCGCTTGTGTTATATGCCGTCGACACTTCGCTTCTTCTTTTACCACTTTGACTCACACTTTCGTCACTGCTGCCACTCGATTTATCTTGATTGTTATGAGTTTCTTCTTTTGTTAAATCAAAATTTCGTCTGTCTTTTTCTGTAACTGTCGGATTTTTATGAATCGATGAAACCCTCGTCAGAATAGTGCCTCTTGAGAGAGTTGATGTTTTTTGAGAATCAGGTTTTTCCGACACTACAGTAGATGCTTCCGTAGTCTTCGCGATTGCAGTGCCAACGAGCAATAATAGAAAACCTGCACAATCATAGCATTTTCGATCTATTACATTATCTTATCTTTAGGTCTAAAAGCATGATAATTTCTCTCACACAATTATCTTTTCCATACTAAAAATATATGACATACACAATATATACATATATATTGTATATATATTGTATATATTGTATATATTATATTTATTGTATATATTGTATATATTATAATGATTTATATTATTTTGTGTTTATCTAAGAGTATATTCTAAAGAGTATATATGTGTATATTCCAAATTAGTTTGTCCAAAAATTATGAAAATTTCTAGGTAAACAAATTCACTCTTCGGTGCATAAAAAATAAAATTCGTCTATTTTTTTCACTCAATGTACCTTGTATTAATTATATGTTTTGATAATAAAATAGATTTTTGCAGCAATAATTCTCGCAATAAACGCGCACGCGCTGACGCAGAAAAATAGAAGTTGCGCTCGTCAACAACAACGTTGACAACTGGTTTCCACTGAGATGCAATAAAACTGTGACAAGTATAGATGAAAGGTTTAATAAATCGAAAAACCGGTTTCTCATGGATCGGGCACGGGTTTCTTCGCAGCTATTTACGTGATCCTACGATATAGTTCGCGTTCTACGGAAAATTGAAAGCGTGCGTTGTACAACGCGGCGTTGCGAGAGCTTGCATCTGAATATTAATCAGACCTTCAAAATTATGTTATTAATTATGCTTTGAGTTTGTTGTGTTTCTCGTGTTTTGCTGATGTACGTCAATACGACAACTATTTCTTCTCGAAAATTCATTGGCTTAAGATAAATGTTACTTTACTGACTATATTTTATGTGTGTCAAAAAGTAAACCTCAATATAACAAATATATGACTTTATTACAACGGATATACACGTGCACATTCAACATATGGCTGTCAAAGTCCTTTTATTTGATATTTGATGCTTTCGCGACGTGTTGTATTAACATTCGAAGATGTTTTTTGGGTTTGAACCGCGTTATTTTTATACCGATGTTTCGTGAAACATTTCAGCTTACTTCATCAGGGTTTCAAGAGCAGCCTGATACTGATCCTTTTATTTCTTGATCTATACTAGTTTATACTAGTTTATACTAGCATCTTATCTACCTATAAATATAAATTTTAAAATTGTTGTTCAAGTCAAATTTTTTATGTACATCAATTGTATATTAATATATTAATTGTTTCTCTGTATATCAGTTGCATGTATAATTATGTATTAAACATTTATCCTATAAAATTATAAAATTATAGTTAGAATAAGTAAATAATTTATTGTGTAAGCACTGTTTCTGTAGATGCTTCTTTTAACTCATAAGTGTGCAACAGTTTTTAACATAATTGCTGAGAAACTCTACAATGCTTTTTAATTACAAAGTATTTATTTTATCTGCATTACAAAGATTCTTGTGGAAGCTTATTTTACGAATACTAAAAATATTTTTAATATTTTTAATATTTTTCTTTTTATACAAAAATTTTTAATGTTTTCTTTTTTAAAATATTATAACTTTATAAATTTCATAAAATTTAAAACAAAATATTTTTATAAGTAATCAAGTTTTAAATATTACTTAAGCTTTGCAAAGTTTATTTTATTTGTAGAGCTGATAAAGAGAGAGACCAGACAATACATTGCGTACTATTTACCTATCTGACATAGGTAAATCGAAAAGAAACGAGAATCCATCAAGAATAAAAAATTTGGTTGTTAGCTTGAGAGTTACAGTTAACTTGCAAGACGCGTTGCAACAAACCTAACAGTACTTAGTGCAGTCACCTCGATTGGCAGGCTTTACATCACAAGTGTACAATGCAATAGGATGCAGTCAAGAGATGCTAATCCATTGTCTACAACAGTAATGCTACACGCGTGATATAACAAAATAAAAATTGTGCGCATACTCCGCTTATCATCGCATTTTCAATTTGGAATAATGCGAAGTAAAGTACGAATGTAGAGTGATATCGTGATAATAAGGAAGAGAATAGGCGTTTGCAACTTACCTATACATACTCCCAATACAAAGGTAAACGTTCTTCTGCGAGTCATTTCTGTCCGTTAGATCTCTTCGCTCGATCTGCAACAAAAGAAACTTATTTTACTATGTGGTTTATTTTTATTACCTTTCTTTAAATATAAAAATTTACTTCAGTAAAACTCTTTATTGAGATACAAATCTATAAAACATAAAATTTTAATAAGTTGACAATATATTTATAGTGAATGACACGTGTGTCATGCTGATTAAAATTCAAGAAAAAATGTTTACTGAGAGCTTAAAAATTCAAGTGATCGCGTATAACGTAGCCTGCGAATATGATTCAGGTAGTAACATCAAAAGAGGGCTTGGGGAGAGCCTTAGGGCTTGTCAATTAGATTAATACTAGTTAGGTCGCCTCAAGGACGAAGTTTAGTCCTCTAGTTTTCTTCTAGTCATACAACAATGTCCATACATTATTATCTGTGCATTGGACTCGACATCGCAATATCTTGATGCGCGACAAACAAATCGACCGGCTTTGAACGCCGGGTTCTCTGAAAATTTTTCTAGAACTTCGTATCCCATTATGTTTATCGTAATCTAAATAGTCAAATATCGATTATCATGCTGTCTGGTTCTTATAACTGACGTTCTTATAGCTGACGATAAACGGCTATCATCGTTTGCTTATTGGTAAACATGCTTACTTTACATCTTGCGTAAATGATGAAATCACGGAAACATAATATTACATATTGTTTATGTGGATACATAAACAGTACACACACAATATATATATATATATGTATATGTATAATTTTTTTTTATATGTATGTACACTCACACAAATTTGCTGGATATATTAGTTTAAAAAAATTATTGATGTCACCGCAAAATCTTGTGCATTTTCGAAATATCAATATTATTACAATATCCAATGTTCATTACATATTTGTATAAGTAGTTACTTAACTGTTTAAATTTAGATTGCATTAATAAATTTATTTTATAAACATTTTGGTTTTTATTCTAGACGGCAATATTCTAAACTGCTTGCATTTCTATTTTCTATATCACAATAAATGCAATTATTATTTCGGTTTATATAGCGCGACGGACTAGCTCTATCACTTAAAGCAAATGACACGCTCTAATAGCAGTCACTGTACGAAAAGCAAAGTATATTAAAAGATGCATTTTCCACCGTTTCTTTTGTCTCCGTTGATTGGACCGAGTCTTTCGTTTTCCGTCGCGAAAAACCATTTTCTGTTGCAAATTGGGCCACCGTGTTCGTTCCTTCAGGACGTGAAACATATCGAGGGAAAAGTTTGCTATTTAGTGTAGAAAGTTTATAATGAATTTTTAAATGACGATGTGCGTGTACTAAAACCGTTAATTATGACAACGGAGATATTCTTTAAGTCAAAGAAATTGCTTATATCTAAGAAAAACTCTTGCTACTTTTATGACAATCTGTTATTCTTATCTATCAATTGAGTCTATTAGAGATAGTCAACAAACAGACTACAGATGTTTAACGCATGATTGTATTTTCACACATAATCAATAAAAAAACTAAAATATTTATAATTTTCATTTTCTTAATAATACTGTTTTTTCCAAATAACTTAAAAACAATACTTGTTTATTAATAATTTTAGAAATAAAACTGTAAGGGGGTACTTAGAATCTCCCTTTCTCTTTCTCACTAAATTCAAATGAATCAAATTAAATCGTTTTAAAAACGCCATATGATTCATATAAAAATTAATATTTTACCTTTAAGCAAAGCCTTTTGACTTGATAAACGTAGAAATTTGTAACAATGAGAAAACCAGCGAAAGAAAATACTGCACTTTCTCTGAACTACACGAGCGATGCAATGCGGTACGAAAAGCAGCCTTTACTTATAGCGAGAACACAATGCGTATTTATGCACACCGAGTTAATTCGTCATCACAGACGGAAAAGTGAAATCATTTCTCGATGATCTGCCACATAAACTTTTTCTTTTTATATCAATTGCCTCAATCACAGCGACAACCCAAGTGCATACATATAAGCTGTCTGTGCTGTTGGATTTGCTTATTCAACTTTTTTTATTTGCATGCTAAGAGAATTACCGTCGAATTGCAAATAGTTAAGGACTCGTGGTTACGCCAATTCATGTAATTCGAGTGTGTACATTTTGTTGTATTTCTGTAATTTCTTGTGCTTGGAGAAACGCGCGTAATAGATGCAGATCGTAAATATCGCGCGATTCGTGAGGAAGTGAAAGGCTGCGTTGAAACTTTGCATCAAGATCAGTTACTGTAAAAACCTCTGATAAAAGAATGAATTATGTTAAATTACGCAAATTTTTAAATGTCATCTGTTTTATCCGCGACTACAAATAAAAATCAATTAAAAAGAGATAAATGTATTTTTCAAATATAATTTTCACACACACACACACGCGCGCGCGCGTAATCTCGCTGTACAGCCTTTTTTTATATAATAATTTTAATTTAAAAAAAAATGTCATTTTCTCTCATTTATTCGTAATATAGAATTTAGCATGCAGATAAGTAATTAAATAAGTATGTAATTTAAATATACTTATAAAATAATTGTTCTTCCTTTTACTTTTAAAGTAAGATTTTAATATAACAAGATCAATTTTTTCTTTTAATCAACTTGTCCTCGCGACGAGAAGTCACGAGTTTCTTTAAAAAGAACAAGAGAGAAACATCTTCTTGATAAATTTACATTCTTGTTCCGATGGTACTTGACCGAACATGTCTCTGAGAAAAAAAAGCCATCATGTTTCAAGTATAGTAGAGAGCGAGTCAGCGGAGCGTAACCACCTGTTCCTCTTTGGTGCCTTATTGTTGGCTGCGGCGGTTGTTCGCTTCATACGTAGTGTGTTTCGCCGGATACGACGCGCGCGGCTATATGCTCCACTAACTTCTCACTGCGATGTCTTCGTACGTCGTGACCGCCAACGTAAACGCTAGGACGAAGGAAAACCAGTTCGGTCCAACGGTGCTAACGGTTTTTTTGCAACTAACATTTGCGCACGATGTAAGGCAAAAACAAACCAGATCTCGGAAAGGTGCACGAAGAGTTCTTACTTCATCATAAAATTTGTCATATATATTTAACAGATATGTCCAACTTAGAAAATTATTATTATATCCAATTTATTACATTATTAACTTATCTACCTATATAAAATACAATAATCACATCTATAATTACTTTTTTAAGTATTATTACGAATTGTACATGTTTATCAAATGATTTATTTCATAATATACTACAGTTGCATTATTTATTCAATGCAAAACTTATTAACACTAGAACTACCGAAGTAGTCAAAATGACTGGTTGAAACTTTCCATTTAAAAATTACTCAAATTAATGGCTTTGCAGTTTAGAAATTTTTTATGACAAATTGATAAATTAAATTCTTTATATATTGCAAAGAAGTCATAAAAAATTTCCGAAATGCAATATTATAAATTTGAGTAATTTTTAAATAAAAATTTTTAACTAGTCATTTTGACTGGCCGGTAGTTCTAGAGTGTTAATTCCTTCAAATTCAATTCATTTGATTTTTAATTCCAATTGATTGTATCATGCAATGTATCAATAATCAGAAATCTTGCAAGCATTTTTTGCGCGCAATCTAATTACAAAAAAGCGACGTAAGCAACATGAGATGAAATAAACGTATGTCTAATGACGATATTACACACGTATACACATTGATAAACTGCGGACTATATTACTTTCTATTATTAAACGAGAAACATATATGTAAGTTATATACCAAATAATGTAACATCCGGAAAAAATGAACGAATTTGAGATCAAAGCGATGAAATTTTTTTCACTATGGCTGCGTTGATGTAGTCCATCAGTAAAATAAAACGCGTCGGGAGTGGCCGGCTAGTACTATCAATTGAAAATTCAACGTGATGTAACTTGAATGTCAACCAATGACAGAATGACACTCGGATATCGATTCACGGTCGGCGTCTATTGTTTTGCCAAGTGTACACACGCGCTCGTGATCACGACAAATTTGCATTAATTGAGTGATTATGCGCTGCATTTTACATATATGGTAACGCGGAAACGTCGGATCGATTCACATTTGCAAACGAGTTTCGAAATTACAAATTATCTTGCAAACCAGAAGAACTTGAATGCAGATACTAATCAACAGATTGTCTCACGATACAAATAATATGTCAACAATAAACAAAGAGCTTGTGAATGGTAGTTTTAAAAAACTTTTATTTAAAAAAATTATTTGTAGAGCTTATCGCACTTTCTGTTTTGACTTTTTTTTAGACCTACAAAAAGAGATAAGAATAGAAGAAAACTTTTCATTAAAAAGAAAAGAAAAAAACAAGTTTGCTCTCTTAAAATGAAAGTAATACAGAATGTTACTTATCGATTGCACTTCGAATGACAAAAACAGCAATTGCACTATTTTCTGATTTGTTTGGCAACGTTAGTTCAGTGAAATACATGATGTTAAAGAAGAACACACCCATTATCTTCATTTGTTTGTTTAACCGGTATTATATTCAATCGATTGCTAATCTATATTAAAAGTTAGCCAAACTGCAACGCTCGATTGATCGAAATATCAATAATTGATTAACTGTTCTGAAAGTTCTAAAATACTATATTTGAAAAATGCTTTAAGTTTACGCGTTTCTTCTTTTCTCTTCATTAAGCAAACCGACGTAAACTTATCATCAGCTCAAAACATGACAGTTTTGTTCAAAAGAATTTATAAACTACCAGCTATGTTAATGTATCACAAATACTAATTTTATAGCACAGATAATATAAGGAGATGTAGGTATAATGCTGTTGAAGAAATGTTATAAACTTCAACGACATTATGTATAAAATAAATTAGAAAATAATATGTTTTGTGCTTAATACTAAGCTTTTCAGTATTCGTATTTGATAATCGAAAATCGAAATTAATAATCGAAATTCGATGGCCAAAAATATAAATTAATCCTTTATAATTCCATAATAATTAAATTATGTGCAATAAACCAATTGCAAATTAGCCGTTCAAATTATTC